TAAACAACACACTCCTGAACAATGAGTGCATCAAAGGGGAAATTAAGAAAGAAAAGTATTCCTGGAATTAAACAAAAAGGACAATACAACACAACAAAATCTCTTGGAGACTTTAAAAGGAGTCCCAAGAGGGAAGTTTATAGCTCTAAGTGTCTACATTAAAAAATCAGAAAGAGGGGCTGGAGAGCTGGCTCAGCAGTTAAGAGCACTGACTGCTCTTGCAGAGGACCCGAGTTCGATTCCCAGCACCCACATGGCAGCTACGAACCATCCTTAACTCTACTTCTAGGGAAATCCGAAGCCCTCTTCTGACCTCTGCGGCATTGCACGACACAGGTGCACTCACATACATGCAGGCAATACACTCATACACATAAAATAAAAATAATAATTTTTTTTAATTAAAAAAAAATCAGAAACACAAATAAAAGATGACATGGTAATTCAAGACTCTTAAAAGGCAAGAACAAATGAAACTCAAGTGCAGGAGAAATAACAAAAATCAGAGCAGAAATTAATGAAATAGAAACAAAGAAAACAATACAAAGAATCAATGAATCTAAGAGCTGGTTCTTTGAAAAGATAAAAAGATAGATAGACCCTCAGCCCAGTTAACCAAAAGAAAGAGTACCTCCAAATCAACAAAATCAGAGATGAAAGGGGAAACATCGTAACAGACACTAGAAAGATCCAGACCATTACAAGGGAATATTTTTAAAACCTATACTCTATTAAATTTGAAAACCTAAAAGAAATCAATAGGTATCTAAAATCATGGGAACCAGAAAAACTAAACCAAGAAGAGATCAACAGTTTAAACAGACCCATAACATATAAGGAAATTTGAAACAGTAATACAAAACCTCCCGACTAAAACAAGCCCAGACCCAGATGGATTTACAGCAGAATTCTACCAGACACTTAAAGATCTGCAACCAATACTACTTATTCAGGAAGATAGAAACGGGAGAACTCCCAAATTCCTTCAAAGCCAGCATCACTCCAATACCAAAACCAGGTAAAGATACAACCAAAAAAGAAAACTATAGACCCATATCCTTAATGAACACAGATGAAAAAATTCTCAACAAAATACTTGCAAATGGCATACAGATACACATCAAAAAGATCATCCACCATAATCAAGTTAGCTTTATTACAGAGATGTAGGGATGGTTCAATACACCAAGTCAATAAACATCATTGAATCATATAAATGGACTTGAAAGACAAAAATCACATGGTCATCTCAATAGATGCAGAGAAGGCCTTTGACAAAATTCAACATGCATTTAAGTTCAAAGTCCTAGAGGAAATTGGACTGGAGGGACCATACCTCGACATAAGTAAAGCCATATATAACAAACCCACAGCCAACATCATTCTAAATGGGGAAAAACTGGAAGCATTTCCACTGAAATCAGGAACTAGACAGAGCTGTCCACTGTCTCCACTCCTTTTCAACACAGTGCTTGAAACTCTTGCTAAAGCATAAAACAAGAAAAGGAAATTTTAAAAGTACTAATTTTGATCTCCATGGGCATTGCATGACACGGGTGCATTTATCCACATGCAGGCAATACACACCAATACACATAAAATAAAAACAATAAAATTTTTAAAAAAGAAGTGTCTATGGACACTAAAAAATATTTTTTAAAAGTACTAATTGGAAAAGAAGACGTCAAATTAATTCTTTTTTTTGCAGATGATTTTATACCTAAGAGACGCCAAAAATTCTACCAAAAAACTCCTAGAAATGATCAACACTTTCAGTAAAGTGGTAGGTTATAAAATTAGCCTTTTTATAAACCAATAGCAGGCAAATGGAAAGAGTACGTGGGAACCCTCCCATTCACAATAACCTAAAAAAATTTTTAAAATTAAAAAAAAAAAAAAGGAAAATGTCTCAGAATAAACCTGACTGTGGTGGTTTGAATGAAAATGTCCCCCATAGGCTCCAAGTGTTCGGACATTTTGTCCCCACATGGTGGTGCTGTTTTGGGAGGTTTTAGAAGGTGTGGCTATCCTGGAGGAAGCACGTCACTGGGGGTGGGCTTAGAGAGTTCTCAAGCCTTCCCAGATCTCCAGTTGCTCTCTTGCTTCCTGTGCCTGTGTGATGATGTGGGAGCTTAGCTGCTGCTGCTCCTGCTCCAGCCACCTCCAGCCACCATGCCTCCCCGCCATGACGGACTGTAATTCCCCCGGAAATGTAAGCTCAAACTCTTCCTTCTATAAACTGCTTCGGTCAGTGTTTCTACCACAGCAGCAGAAAAGTAACTAATACACTGACCAAAGACTTTATTAAAGATTTCTACAATGAAAATTAAAATTTTAAATCTTTAAAGAAAGAGATTGAGAAAGACATCAGAAGATGGAAGGACCTCCCATGCTCATGGATTGGAAGAATTAATATTGTAAAAATCACTCTCCTACTGAAAGCCATCCATAGATTCAGTGCAGTGCCAATTAAAATCCCCATGACATCCTTCACAGAATTAGAAAACATTCTAAAATTCATATGGAAGCACAAAAGTCCCCAGATAGCCAAAGCAACCCTGAGCACAAAGAGCAGCACTGGGGGGATTACTATACCAGATCTCAATCTGTATTACAGAGCTATAGTCATAAAAATAGCATGGTACTGGCACAAAAATAGACCCGAAGATTGATGGAACATCACTGAAGACACAAAAATGAGTACATGCGATTTCAGCCACCTGATATTTGACAAAGGGGCCAAGAACATTCACTGGAGGAAAGACAGCATCTTTAGCAAATGATGTTGGTAAAACTGGATCTCCACCTGTAGAAGAATGAAACTAAACCCATATCTGTCACCTTACACAAAAGTCAACTCCAAATGGATCAAAGACCTCAACTCTGAAACTGTTAGGAGAAAATATTGGTAATACTCTACAAGATATAGGTGTAGAAAAGGACTTTCTAAAACAGACATCAATTGCTCAGGAATTAAGATCAAGAATTAACAAGTGGGATCTCATTAAACTAAAAGGCTTCTGTACAGCAAAAGAAACAACCAAGGAAGTGAAGAGAAAATCCACAGAGTGGGAGAAAATCTTCACTAGTGACACATCTGACAGATGTTTAACATCCAGAATATTTAAAGAACTCAAAAAACAAAGAATCAAGAAAGTAAGCAATTCCATTAAAAGATGGGCTAAGGATGTAAACAAACTTCTCAAAAGAAGAAATAAAGATGGCTAAGAAATAATCTTTAAAAGTGTTCAACATCCTTAGTAATTAGGGAAATGCAAATTAAAACCACTTTAAGATTTCATCTTACCCCAATCAGACTGGCTATGATCAAGGGAACAAATGATACCAAATGTTGGAGAGGATGTGGGGAAACAGGAACGCTCATCCACTGCTGGTGGGATTGCAAAGTTGTACAACCCCTATGGAAAGCAGTGTGGAGAACTCTTAAAAATCTAAGATGGCTCTGTGGGTGAGAACACTGGATGCTTTTGCAGAAGACCCAGGTTTGACTCCCAGCACTCATGTGGCGGCTAACAACCATTGGTAACTAGTTCCAGGGGCTCTGATGCCCTCTTCTGACCTCCAGGGCATTGCACAACATGGGTGCACTTGTATACATAGAGGCAATACTCATACACATAAAATAATAATATATATTTTTTTAAATCTAAAACATGAAACTACCATTTGATTGGTTATACCACAACTCCTTGGCATATACCCAAAGAACTCATCCTATTGCAGAGATACTTGTACAACCAACCATGTTTGTTGCTGCTCTTTTCACAATAGCTAAGAGATGGAAGCAACCTAAGTGTCCCTTAACTGATGAGTGGTTAACAAAAATGTGGTATATTTACACAACGGAGTTCTATTCAGCAGTAAAGAAAGATGAAATAATGAATTTGCAGGTAAATGGATGGATCTAGAAACTGCTGTACTAAGTAACACAGACTCAGAACAACAAATGACGTACGTTCTCCTTCATATGTGGATCCTAGCACCAAATCCTCATATGTGAGTATGTATCCTGATGTAACTGCAGGAACCAGGATAATGAAAAGGAACCAGGGAGGTAAAGGGAAAGAAGGACCCTGAGAGTGAACAGTAGGAAACAAGTGTGACTAAGGGAGAAATGGATAAAATGGGGTGTTTAAATGGGGAGGGGCATTAGTCAGCAAAATCTGATAAGATAAATAACCTAGGTTGTTAAGGCAAACAAACCCACAAAAAATGAAGCAAGTAAAGGGGATTCTAGGATGAGAAACTTAAAGGTACATTAACCAATTTTGATTCATATATAGGTCTGAGCTGGATCTTAACTCCAAGAAATATCAAAAGCAATCAGGAAACTTTAAACAATGACTGGATACCTGATTACAAGAATTACTGACAGTTCTTTGACATGTGATAATGGCACTGGAGTTGTATTTTATTATGGATTCTCACCCTTCATGAAAATATACTAAAACATTTATAGATGAACTAATTAAGTTTGCAATTTGTTTCAAAATAGTAGTTTCGGTATGGGAGGGCAATGCATACTGGAATAGAGAAATATAAATTATTATCAAAACTGTGATAGGTATATGGAGATTTTTTTTTTTTTTCTTTTGAGACAGAGTCTCCCCGTAGCCCCAGCTGTCCTGGAACTCACTATGTAGACCAGGCTGGCCTTGAACTCACACAGATCCACCTGCCTCTGCCTCCCAAGTGCTGGGACTACAAGCATGCGCCACCACATCCAGCTATGGAGATCTTTTGTATATATCTGACTTGGGGGGAGGGGGCAGAAGAGCCACACTAGGTAAGAATGTGTGACTAACTCTACCTTTATGTCAAGAGAATTCTTCTAAATAAGACAGAGAAGTTTCAGCTACACATTTGCCATAGGCTACCTCACCCACTGTTTTAAGAAAAAACTCATAACATACATAAAAAGCATAATTAAATATTTTTTACAACAAATACGGAGAAAAACAATCTTCTCTGTACTGTACCTGAGTCTGGCCGCCCATCTGAGCTCCGAAACTCTTGCATTCTCTTTTCCAGTTTTTGTTGCCTCCGCCGTTTCATAACTACCTCAGGGTTAGAAATTGTTCGAGTAAAGCTGGTTTCAGGCATGTCTTTGTAAACTTCGGCAGCCAGCCGAGAATTCTCACTGTGAGGTACGAGATCACCAACAATATTTAAACATTTTTCCTACTAGGGAAAAAAAAATCATTAAAAAAAACATAATGGTAAATATCATTGGCTACATCTATCTCCTAACAGGTCTGCCATATACTAGTTACCACGTGGTAACTGCCATGACATTAATGATACAGCATCTCTCTATACAAACAAATGGACTGAAGGAATGAAAAATATATAAGTAAACTTTACGGTGAGTTCACACAGCTCAACTGTCACATGTTCATGAACAATCATTCATTTCAACTTTTACCAGTGTCATCCTAAACAACAAATGATATTAGACTACAACGTTCCAAATATAAATATTTTATTATTATTTTTACTTTATGTGTACGAGTGTCTCGCCTGCATATATGTGAGTGCACCCGTGTCATGCAATGCTGCGGAGGTCAGAAGAGAGCTTCGGATTGAGCTTCAGATTCCCCTGGAACTGGAGTTAATGGATGGTTGGTAGCCGCCATGCGGGTGCTGGGAATGAAACCCGGGTCCTCTGCAAGAGCAGTCAGTGCTCTTAACTGCTGAGCCATCTCTCCAGCCCCACACTCCAAATACAAGAAAAATATTTAAGAATCTTCCTTTATAGTAAATCTTGAAGAATCTAATTCATTAAAAGCATGATTTTCTAAACACCTAAAAGACTAACTAGCATTCGTTTTCTGAAGCTAAACTTTGAAAAGGAGACTGCTCCAATAGTTTTTGCAAAAGGATCCACAGTATCAAATAATGAGCAGAAAACTAAGTATTAACTATGATGAAATAAACTGAAATATGACTAAATTTTAATAATTTAAACATGTAATTTTAATCATAAACATATTTTTTGAAAGAGAAGCTTTAATCAATCAAGTTGATTCATCTGAAGTAACTCATTTTCTATATCAAATAATGTACCACCTCTTAAAGTAAGCCAGTGAAATGACAAGCCACAGGTGTCAGTTCCAAACTCTCCTTTTCTAGGATGTTCTCTATACAGGAGAACTGTGTCCACACACCTCCTTCCTCTCGTCTAGCTACGTCAAACACAGCTTGTACTCACAAGCAACTACACAGGCATTCCTCCTAGAGGTTACATCCAGGGCTGTTGTGACAGAACAGGAATGTCCAAGGTGCATCTGGATTTGAGATGGAAAACCTGCTCGACTCCCCAGCACTGCCAACCTCTGGCCAGTGTATGTGACATTAGGAACCGCAATTGCCTTTTTGGCCGAGATCACAAAAGTGAGAGCTTCAAAGGACTAGATGAAAATGTAGAAACCACCGACTCTAACACTTTGATCTAGGCATCTGCTAGCAAGGACCTTGTTCAAATAAGGCCCTTCAGTTTGGAAGAACCTCAGGTTTCCAGGCAGTCTTGGCTATTCTTGTCATCATTTACCTGCAATTCAACAAGTTTGGTGCACTAGGCACATGGGCTTGGGGCCTACATTGACGGGAATGTTTCCAAAAACACCTCACCTGTCATCTCCTTGGGAAGGCCTTTCTTCTTTGTCAGAAGCCTGTCTCAGTGCCTCTTTCTCTCTCTTCTTTTTCTCCTTCTTTTCCTTCTTGGAGAGAGTTCTCTTGAAGTTCTGAATGACACCTTCTTTCTCCTGCTTTTCAGGTCCATTACTTTGGGCCTTCTGGTAAAAGTAACATTATCACCACATTGACCACTACCCTGGAATCAGAGGAAGCTCCTTATGGTTTGGCTGCTGCCTTCACCTCACAAACCATGGCCAAAAAAAACCCAAAATAACAACAACAACAAAACCCTATGGAACAATACGGGGCCTTAGATGAGGGAAAGTTCTTTACCTTGATGAGGCTGATAGTGACAGGGTATACTGGTCAAAACCAAGTAAACTAAACATTCATGATATAAGCATTCCACTGTATTTAAATTTTGCCTCAATTTAAAAACAAGAAGCAAGAAAACAAAAACCCAAAGCCAATACAAAAACTGGAGTACAAATCAGGAAATCTGATTTTCAATAAATAAAACAAAAAAAGTGACTATAACATGACCTGATAAGGGGCCTAGTGAAATGAGGCAGGAATAGAGACCACTGTCTATGTAACAGGTGGTTTCCTGAAACTTCACAAGAAATGTAATGAGTTGGTTTCCATGAATCAAGATTATATGTATTCTATTTTTTGTAAAAATGTCTACTTTCTTTTCTAGATCTTGCTTATTGACTTATTCTTAGTTTCTATTTCAACCTACAAACTTGGCCTGCTACTGAATAGGTAAAGAAGAAAAACAGTTACATTTAAAAAAAAAACAAAAAACCTGCCCTATTTCACAAAATTAAGAAGAGAAGAACATTAATATTCTATTTTTTCCACTCACAGATATTTATAACATTGTATCAGTCCTCAAAAGAGTTTGTACATGCCAGTAAGGGCCTGTGGCCCACAACAAAGTAAACAGAAGGAAAGAACACCAGCTGAAATCATGGTGCAAACATGATACAACATAAGCAGTAAAGCAACGGGAACACTTTACATGCATGTGCCACAAATGTAGCTAGTCACCAAAACCCAGTTTTGGAAGACAAGAGCACATCTGTGCAGATACCTAGGATCTAACATGCAACACAGACATCAGACAGAGAAAGCCTCCTGCTACTGTACAAGAGTAACAGCATTTTCACAATTAGGGTGAAAATTAGAAGACTCTTAAAATAGTTTCAGCCTCTATATTTGCTAGCATCTGTTCAGTACCAAAATCTTACACAAAATGTCACTTGACCTAGCACAAAATATTGTCAAGTTACATCAATAATCATGGTATTCCACACACAAAAAGAACAAGGGTACAGAAATTCCAGATATCATACCACCTGAGAAAGTTTTAGAACTGTTCTATGATGGCTAATATTGATTATGAACTTGACAGGACCTAGAATCACTCAGGAGACAAGCCTCTGGGCAGGCTTGTGAGAATTATCTAGATTAGGTCAACTGAAGAGGGAAGACCCACCCTAAAGGTAGGCAGCACCACTCCCTGGGTGTGGGTCCTGGACTACAGGAAGAGGAGACAGGAGCTGAGCACCACCAATCACAGCTCTCTGCTTCCTGATTGTACCTGGAGTACGGCCAGCTGCCTCACCTCCCATCTCCAGTTCTCTGCCAAACTGTGAGCCAAAATGAACCCTTTCTCCTTTGTTTGTGTCAGGGTATTTTACCACAAGAACAGGAAAAGTAAGACACAGTCTACTATGTCATCCAAAGAAATCCAAGAAAGCTTCCTGATTCCCAATCTTGACTATGTAATATGAAGACATTTCGAACGTGCCTTAGAAAGCTGCACCTAGAAGCAAAGTTTCCTTTTCCCTTTTGTTCCCTCCAGGGACCATTCGATTTTTTTTTAATTTGGGAGGAAGCTGAAATTGATGATGATCGTTAAATCTGTCTCAAAAGCACACAAAATTCTTCTTTGAAAAAAACGAAAGACAATCCTGGGTGACCAGGTGAACTGAAGAATGGACTAGGGAGAAGAGGCTACTTTTCAAGCACGTTCCAGGAAGAGGTGAAGGAATTTACAAAGAGAAGACGCTCCCAGGGAAAGCATAGACCCTGTTCGTCCCACAGCCCCAGCCCTGACTGTGGTGCACCAAACACAGGGACTGCTCCCACCTTGGCAGGGACTGTGTCATTCTCATTCTTAAGGACGAATCTCCCCTCCCGATCATCTTTGTTCCAATTCAACTGCACAACTAGAGGTTTCTCATCAATGTCCAATCTTCTTTCTTCTTCAAAACATGAAATGGAAGAAAGAACAAGCCGTGGTCATTTCATGGCATTAGTGCGATACAGACTCTGTGAAATACACTTAAACGTCATGTATATGAAGTACTTCAAACCTTCAATCATCCGCAGATAGACTGAGACGTACTGTTTGATGATGTTAAATCACTGAGTTAGGCAGCATCTTCCTGCTGTTTGGTACACACTCCATGCACCCTCTGACCAGGCGAAGGGCACTGCTCAGAACACATTTGCTGCTAGTGAGCATGTTTGTCACCATGATCCAGTGCCAGACACTGACCAGGAAAGAACACGCCCCTTATTCTAGTCTAACTGTGAAAACAAAAAACTTATTTCTGTAAAACCAAACTATCCCATAGCAACTAGAAAACAAGGGAATCATGTTACATGGTTGCACTGATTCATCAGATTTTCCATGAAATGGCAGCAGCCCACCACCTATCCCAAGTGACTGGTGGCACATTAGCCTGCCCTCCTGGGCATCTGATCTTATCTCTAACGTTGCCAACCTCAGCCCTCACGTGCCCTTCCACCACAGCGGTGCTGCCACTATGCCACTATTCTGCCAATACCACAACCCTCCCCACCCCACCCCACCCCTGGTGTGGTAAAGTGCTGTTGGGTGTACTCTTCTTCCAGTCTAGGGAAACCTGACAAACCTCCCTGGCATACCAGTCAGAAACAGAGCATAGCACTGAGGGACACACAATCTGGCCATCCAAGTCCTCAGTAGCTAGGGACTGTCAGGGATATGTATGAAGGACAGAACTCCTCCTAGCAGTCAAGAAACCTGATCCAGGGTAGAAAAAAATAAAGGGGCAGGAGCTGCTCCGCTGAGACAACAATCCGAGGAGCCTCCCATTCCTTGGGGAAATCCATCTGCTACACCTTCACTCCTCACCCTTGTTCAAGTCACTGCTACAAAATGAAAGTTTTCAGTGACCTCTCCATCTCCTTCTTCCTCTAGAGTTCATAGCTTCTGGTATCCATTAGGCAGAATGTAAGACTATTCAGAAATGCCCATTTCACAAACACCAAACGGGTGGCACGTTACCTGATTTTTCAAGTAACCTAAAACCTAGCATTTTCAAGCTTGAGCAAAAAAGTGAAATTCATCATAAAATGAAAATATCTGGTGAGGTGAGTAACTGACATCTAACAAAATTCAACCCCCTATTCCACCACCACTCTCCAGCCCTATGTACCACAGCCACCCCACCGTCAGGTGGCACAGGCAGCACACACAGTGCAAAGAAGATAGAAAGTAAAAATTTCAACCCTACAGAACTGGGATGGCGTGATGCCAATGACAATAGTATTTAAAAAAAATCACACGAAGTCTAAACCTGCCTGTGACATCCTAAGCTCCCTGTAGAAAACTCTGGCTTGCCAAGGTTGGAATGTTCTGAGGATTATGAGTTCCAATCCTGGGTCAAAGCTACAGAATTTATGCACAGTCAAGAAAAAAAGCTATTAGGAAGCATCTGTTTAGTGATGTGTCCTGTAGCTGCAACAAAAACCCTATCAAACATGAGAAAGACTTCATTGTCCAAACCTAAGACCTTTTCGTTGTAGTGGTGGTTGTTACTATTTTTTGTAAAATGTGTTTCCAGTTTCAAGTGGCGTTATTTATTTTAAGGGGCCAAAACAAATACAGGTATTAAGTATCTGTGCTGTACATAGTGGAAGCAGTACAAAGACAAGACATTTGGAGTTAGGTTTCAACGAAGGGACTACCTGCAGTAAATGACCAAGCCAGGGCTGAAGGGAAGGATGGCTCTACCTTCTCTCAAAAGAGATCAACAGGAAGGGACAGAGAAGTGCACCATGGGGCACAGAGGTGTTGACTACAGCCTGAAGGAAGGGAGAAGGCTATTTCCCCCAACCAAGTACTTCTGCTATTTGCCACAATTTAAATTTTGGCCCCTAGAGCAAGAGTAGGATGCATTCTACACCTGGTGACAACGTGGCAACAGGATAAACGTGTCAGCAATAACTCAGTAGGGCACACCAAGTCTAGGAGAGCAGCTAGGGTTTGCAGAGCAAGAAGGTGCCCCAAGAGTGCATGGGAAACCAAAAACATGCAGAGGCTGCTGGAGGCACTTAGTAAATAGGACACAGAAACAGCAATGCCACGTATCAGAACATAGGAATAAAAACTTTTAATTGTTTATTTAGCAACTGGAAATATAAGAAATGAAAGCGTTAACTAATGAAGGAGAGAATCAATAAATCTGCCATAAATTACCAAGTTGCTCTTCTCACAAAATTTGTGCCAGATCAAAATCCTTTATGATAACAAAATATAATTTGAGGGAACTAATATTAGGACTAAACCATACAAACAAAATAAACCAAAGGTGGACTATGCTAAAGCACGATGACTCATCACTGTACGTAAAGTCAAGGTGCTCCAGGCCCCTCTGCAACTTCATACACTGAAAGAGACCTTCTGCCTTAGTGACTTCACATTCAGAAGCATTATCATTTATGCTTCCACCTGAATTAATAAGAGAAACCCTACATATAAAAAGAATAAGGGACAATGAGACGACTCGGAGGGTAAAGCACTGGCCATGCAAACTTGATGATTCCATTCCATCCTAGGAACCTACATGACAGTGGAAGGAGAACCAATTCCACAAAGTTGTCTTCTGACCTCTACATACATGCCATGGCACGAGGGTACACACACACACACACACACACACACACACACACACACACACCATATACATTCACATATTAGTAGTAAATTTTTTTTTTAAAAAAAGAATAAAAGTAGATTTTTCCTGGTTGAGCAAGGGTTGGGCCCAGGCTTTAGTCCACGCATGTGGAGGCCTAGCGACGAGGAGCCAGAAATGAGCTCTGAAATGTCCAAATGGACAGATGTACTGTGTCAGAGGCTATGGGACAACTGGTTCCTGGTCCACACCAGTATGCTGCATCCCCTCTGTCAGGATCATAAAGTATGTCCAAAAACTAATGTGACTGGAAGTGCAGGCCTGTGTCAGAGAAGCCCACTAGGCCCAGGATGCCCAACCCTCATTAGAAGGAGTTGTACTCGAGAATGAAATGAAAGGGTTAGCTTTTCTTTCATTTTATGTATTTTTTTTTTTCAAATAGTGTCTGAATCTAACTAGATAATAAACTGAAGTGTTACATATTTTCTTTGGCCTAGGTACCACTGAAAGATTACCTAGACACTAGGGCTAAGGCTGTAGCTCAGTAGTAGGCAGCTTGCTGGCATGCCTGAAACCCTGGCTTTGATCCCCAGCATGAAAACAAAAGAAAAAGAAGAGAAGGAAGGGGGAGGAAGGGGGCTAAGGAAAAGAGTTTGCTGTGTTTTTTTTTTAAGAAAAAACAATCAGCCTGGTGTGGTAGCACACACCTTTAATCTCAGCACTTGGGACTTAGGAGGCAGAGGCAGGTGGATCTTTGTGAATTCGAGGCCAGCCTGGTCTACATAGCGAGTTCCAGGCCAGTTGGGATACAGGGAGACCCTGTCTCAAAAAGACCAAAAAAAAAGCAAAAGCAAAATCATTTAATTTTAAATTCTAATCTTTCATGTTACTCCAAGACCTACCTGGTGGTTGGTATTCAACTAACCAAATGACACAGATCAAAAGCAGCTGGGGGTTGAGAGCTGCTTCTCTTTGTAATCTATTCATAGAGAGCCACAGGTAAAGTGAAACTCCTCTTCAGGAATCTCTATGAACTGAGAATGTCTTCTAGGGCAGAATTTAGTCTGGGTATTATTTATGCAAGGAACAGGCTCCTAACCTTAAAAACCATGGACTGATATATATACTCCTGAAGAAGAGTGTTTACAACACCTGAGAAATCCCACGTCGCTAACATTCTAGTTTTATTTCAAATGTACAAGGAAAACTGTATTTTCTTTAAATCAAGAAAAGTAAATAGGGGCTGGAGAGATGACTCAGCAGTTAAGAACACTGGCTGGATTCAATTCTTGGCACTCACATGGCGGCTAACAACCAGCTGTAACTCCAGTTCCAGGGGAACCAATACCCTTTTCTAACCTCCTCGGGTATTACACAACCCGGCAGGTACACTTACACACATGCAGGCAATATACTCATACACATAAAAAAATAATAAAAAAAAAATTTTAGAAAAAGAAAAATGATGTTAAAAAGCTTTGTTTTTAACAATAAATTTTAAATTTTTACTTAAATTTAAGAGGTTCAAATTGGGGTTGTGCCACATACATTCTTTTTTTGGCTGTATTTGCTGTACTTTGCATTTTTTTAATAGGTTACTAACATTTCCAAAGGACCTATAAAATACTTAAGTTTCTACATTTCTAATCAGCCCAACTTGTTTTTTCTAAATATTTTTATTTACTATTTTTTATTTTATGTGTATGTGTGTATTGCCTGCATGTGTGTAAGTGTACCTGTGTCATGCAGTGCCTGTGGTAGACAGAAGAGGCTGTCGGATCCCCTGAAACTGGAGTTATGGACAGTTGTTAGCTGCCATGTGGGTGCTGGGATTCAAACCCGGGTCTTCTGCAAGAACAGCCAGTGTTCTTAACTGCTGAGCCATCTCTCCAGCCACTTCAAGTTGTGTTTTTGTGTTATCATGTTGTACAAGGCATCTTTATTAATGGCTAATGTTAATGTAAGCAGACATTATAAACTATATAAAGGAGATTTTCCTCAAGGTGCCCAGCTGTTCCCAAAGAGTAATACACTGTTTCAGAGTATAAAAGCATGATGCCTAGATCACTGACTTGATATACACAATACTGAACTGGGTTATAATTCTCCATGACATTAAATCTATACTTAAGATATTCTCCAAATGAAGTTATCACGCAATACTCTGATGTATTATGGCACTAGATATTTTGGATAATATTTTATGAAATGTTACTTGAGAGATACGCATATGTAGACGAATACGTTCATCCTAACTTCCCACAAATGTGCAAGAACACAAAAGAATGTCTTAGGTTTGCAAGTTTGCCAGCCTGTCAATCACTCTGTTGGGTGGGAGAAAGAAAGAAAAAGAGATGAGCAGTCAAGCTGAGGTCTAACTATGACATCCCTGGACAGGCTGTTGACTCCAGGTCAGGACACAGCACCAACTGCCCATCTGTGTACACTGACCTCCACTGACATGCACTTCATAGAGTGAATACTTTGGAGAGGATAGCATGCGCATATCAGGGCGGAACTTCTCTGCTAGTGTTTCAATCACGTCTTGAGTGGTTGCAGTGCTAGAGACCCGAATACATTTTGTTGCGAAGTTTCCAGCAGCTTTATCTTGAAAATAAAATCTCATCACGCCATGGAACTCCAGATCCTGAAAGAAAAAATATGATACATTACTGGAAATGATTCTGGTAACATCCACTTTTCATAGTAGTAAATGAAAAAGTCCATTAGGCTTTTTAAATGTTTATCATAAACATTTCAAACAGAAACTAGGAAACGGGTTTTTAGTCTTCAGGTTTTAATTATGTGATTTTGGACACACTGTCTCGTGTCTCTTGCTTCACCTCTTGTAGAACCCAGAGACACTTTTCATTCACCCGCTACCCCCCAATCCCTCCAGACCCCCACTAATTGCTCTTTTAGCTTCTGTAAAATGCTTGGCTGCTGCTTTAGACATGCCTAGACATACCTTGGCATGCCCTGAGCCCCACCTGCTATTCCCCACCCCCCTTCCAGGAGACTATAGATTAAAAAAGCCCGAGCACAAAAACTGCCCTATAAGGTAAAAACGGAGACTCCTGGCCCCACAGGTAGCATTCAGCACATTCCCTATCCCTGAGAATAGCACCTACC